GCCGAGGGTTCGAGCCACCCCCCCCCCCCCCCCGCCAGGGGACAGCTGCCACCACCATTTTGGTGATGGATGCACCTGGCACCCTGGGGACATAAGAAAGATTTGGGGGGGCCCAGAATGCAGGGATGCTGGGGGGCTCCTTCAATGGAGAACTGGAGAGATCCCAGATGATTGCAAAAAGGCAAATGTAGTGCCCATCTTTAAAAAAGGGAAGAAGGACAATCCTGGGAACTACAGACCAGTCAGCCTTACCTCAGTCCCTGGAAAAATCATGGAGGGGATCCTCAAGGAATCCATTTTGAAGCACCTAGAAGAGGGGACAGTGATCAGGAATAGTCAACATGGATTCATGAAGGGCAAGTCCTGCCTGACCAATCTGATTAGCTTCTATGATGAGGTAACTGGCTCTGTGGACGTGGGAAAGTCAGTGGATGTGATAGACCTTGACTTTAGCAAAGCTTTTGATACGGTCTCGCACAATATTCTTGCTAGCAGGTTAAGGGAATATGGGTTGGATAAATGGGCTGTAAGATGGATAGAAAGCTGGCTAGACTGTCAGGCCCAATGGGTAGTGATCAATGACAATGTCAGGTTGGCGGTCGGTTTCTAGCGGATGGATTGCATCCGCAGCACGTTTGCAGATGACACTAAACTAGGGGGAGAGGTAGATACGCTGGAGGGCAGGGATAGGGTCCAGAGTGACCTGGACAGATTAGAGGATTGGGCCAAAAGAAATCTGATGAGGTTCAACAAGGACAAGTGCAGAGTCCTGCTCTTGGGAGGGAAGAATCCCAAGTATTGTTACAGGCTGGGGGCCAAATGGCTAAGTAGTAGTTCTGCAGAAAGGACCTGGGGGTTACAGTGGATGAGAAGCTGGATATGAATCAAAGGTGTGCCCTTGTAGCCAAGAAGGCTAATGGCATATTAGATTGCATTAAGAGGAGCATTGCCAGCAGATCCAGAGATGACATTATTCCCCTTTATTCAGCTCTGGTGAAACCACAACTGCAGTATTGTGTCCAGTTCTGGGCTCCCCACTATAGAAAGGATGTGGATGCATTGGAGAGGGTCCAGCGGAGGGCAACCAAAATAATTGGGGGTCTGGAGCGCATGACCTGTGAGGAGAGGCTGAGAGAGTTGGGTCTGTTTAGTCTGCAGAAGCGAAGAGTGAGGGGGGATTTGATAGCAGCCTTCAACTTCCTGAAGGGAGGTTCCAGAGAGGATGGAGAGAGGCTGTTCTCAGTGGTGACAGATGGCAGAACAAGGAGCAATGGGCTCAAGTTGTGGAGGGAGAGGTCCAGGTTGGATATTAGGAAAAACTATTTCACTAAGAGGGTGGGGAAGCACTGGAATGGGTTACCTAGGGAGCTGGTGGAGTCTCCATCCCTAGAGGTGTTTAAGTCTCGGTTTGACAAAGCCCTGGCTGGGTATTGTATGTATAGTTGGGATTATTTTTTCCAATGTGCATTACTTTACATTTATCACCATTAAATTTCATTTGCCTGTTTGTTGCCCAGTCACTTAGTTTGGTGAGATCTTTTTGAAGCTCTTCCCAGTCTGCTTTGGTCTGAACTCTCTTGAGCAGTTTGGGATCATCTGCAAATTTTTCCACCTCACTATGTACCCCTTTTTCTAGATCATTTATAAATATATTGAATGGGATGCGTCCCAGGACAGACCCTTGGGGGACCCCACTAGCTACCTCTCTCCACTCTGAAAACTGACTCTTTATTCCTACTCTTTGTTTCCTGTGTTTTAACCAGATCTCAGTCCACAAAAGGACCTTCCCTCTCAGCTCATAACAACTTACTTTACTTCAGAGCCTTTGGAGAGGGACCTAGTTTCAAAGGTGTTCTGGAAATCTGAGTGCACTGTATCCACTGGATCCCCTTTGTCCACATGTTTGTTGACCCCCTCAAAGAACTCTAGTGGACTAGTAAGGCATGATTTCCTTTTACAGGGATTTCCTCAACAAATCCTGTTCATGCATGTGTCTGACAATTTTATTCTTCACTATTGTTTCGACCAGTTTGCCCGGTACTGATGTTAGACTTACCGGTCTGTAATTGTCAGGATCGCCACTAGAGCCCTTTTTAAATATTGGCGTATGTCTACTAACATCTCGGCATCGTAATTTAGTGTCTCAGTGTTGTCAGTCAGGATTCTCGGGGTTGTCCCGGTATGTGCCTGACAGGAGCTCTACTCAGTTGGTGATAAACTTTCGGCTGTGTGTCAACGTCAGTGCTCCCTTCATCTAAAGTGTTAGCCCCCGTGCACTTGGGTCAATACAGGAGATCTCTGAGAGCCCCTGGAAATGACAGATGCAGGCCAGGGTAACATCATCGAGCAGGTTTATTGTCAAATGTGATGCACTAACAGTTGTTAGCAGAAATTTTCAGTGCCCAACCACTGTGCATTTGGCCCACATTGACAATGTCCCAACACATAGCAGGCCTATTGCCAACTAACAGATACTAGCAGTGGTTAGTAAGCTACTATGCATTCTGTAAGTGTCCGCAATGACACCTGCCGGTTCAGGTGCCTCGTGCACCCCCCAAGGTCGGTCGTTTGTGGTGCCCCTTTTATAGACATGTACAAACAGCTGACATCATTTCTTTACGTAGCAGATGCCACCCTCTGTTGCTTAGTTACCACCCCTCACCTTACGGAAGGGGGGATTACTCACTATCCTTCATGCTGTCTGTTTCGGCCCAGTCCTGAACCTAGGTCGGTCTGTGCATTCGTTTTTGGGGAGTCTTTGTACCAAGACATTTCTTATTAAGATGTTCCGCTACTCCCCTTTGGCTCACAGTCTGGACCCAGCGCCTCCCTGTGTCCCTCCATGCTCCACCTAACTCACAAAATCCCACAGTTATCAATAGGGCCTCTTTCTTGGCTCCTGTGTTACTGAACCAACGTCTTACTCACTAGATTGCAGGCCTGTTGCTGTTTGCATGTTACAGGCCTCTCTTCAGGCCTGCTGACTCCGTGTTGCTGACCCTCAGCGTACTGCATGTCTAACTAAACATTCCCTGTTCTACTTACATCCCTGTTGTTTCAAGGTTTGGGTGGGTGGTGGATTCCTTGGGCACTGGCTTAACTCCCTCGCCAAGCTCTTGCTCTGACCACACAGAAGACTGAAGGAGAAGGGTTCTTTTTTTTTCCAATTAAAACCCTCCCACTCTAATTTCATTGGCTCTCTTGGCTCCCTGCCAACACTTCCTGAGACTCTTAAGGACTTGAAGTCTCTGGGATTAACCCTTTCAGGCAGTTTAATGAACTGGATGGCTGGGATGTCCTCCCGTTCGTCACAGCATGCAGCGTGCTGGGCTGTGGGAAGGCAAGCCGGTGTCATCCGTGTCTGGCTCCATACTGCAGCCATTGCGGTGGGGCCCGTTTCTGGGTCATTTTCCCACAGTTCCACTGAGTCATTAACATTGCAGCAGAGGCAGGCGCTGTGCTGGCCTGAGACCCTCACCCAGAGGTGTGAGGAGTGGGAGACTGGGCTGGTGGGCTGAGTGCCCAGTGCCCGTGAGAAGCCCCTGCAGGGAGGCGAGGCCTGAGCCCTGCCTCGGGCTCTCTGAGCAGCGTGCGGCGGGGGAGGGAGTGGCACGCAGTCTACCACGCAGCTTTGCAGAACCTGGCCCTGGCAGGGCTTCCACCCTCTGGCAGGTTCGCTGGGACCACCTGATATGCCAGGAGGACGCTGAGGCAGCGACCCACGGCTGCTCCTTCTCGTCTGTAGGGCTCCCCAGAGTTCCTTGGCCGGGCCTTCGCCGTGCCGCAGGTGAAGCTGGTGGATGAACCATACCGCAAACCAGCCCTGCAGTTTTTTGACATTTACAAAGGACCCAGAGCAGCAGGGGAATTAATTGCCACCTTTGAGCTGATCGAGCTGGATTACAGTGGCTACTTGGAGGTGACTGGCTTCTTGGGGTGGCAGGGGGCGTGGAGG